GGATCTGGAACGAAACAGCATCTTCAAACATGCGTGGAGAAAGCTGTCAAAGAAGTCGATTCCTTAGGCTTGGTGTCAGTGTCCATTCCAGCGGTTGGTAGTGGTGGACTGGGATGGACAGCTGAAGACTCCGCTAAGGTGGTTTTCGGAGCAATCCGCGCACTTCTCACCAGGAGGCCATTCAGTTCACTTCGTGAGATACGAGTTGTAGTCTTTGACCATTCCATCGTTGGTGCGTTCGTGGTCGAGTTGGAAGCAATCCAGTAAGAAAATTTCTGCCAACGCGAAGACGACGACGAAGATGATGATGATGGTGAAGAGGGCTTAGAAGCTTGTCTGGCTTCAGCCGATGAGTTAACGAAGAAGCGTTGTCACAGAAAGGTCATTGTGTATGGGCGGGTAAAGTCACTTGATGCAGCTATGGCAGCCTTACGCGATGGCGTAGAAAGTGCGTGCAATAAACCACGTGTCATCAAACACGAAATCATAAGTCGTCTTCCCAGACGCTGCATACGGGAACGGAAACGAATGTCGCGCGCTCAAGACGTGAAATTTGACCAACCAGAGCCAGAAACTATTACACTGGAAGGGCTTCCTAAAGATGTGATGGACATGAACTCAGAGGTATCAAATGCCATCCAGGAACAGATGGGAAGAGAGCACAAAGAGGAGCGTGTGGATCAGACTTCCAAAACTGTTCAGTGGTATTTGGTTAGTTCTGGAAAACTCGACCCCTTTGATAAAATAGCCAACAATGATATAGAATCAGCGTATAAAGCAAAGAAACCATCGCTTTTATTCACACATCAGAATCTGAAAGCTGAGGTCAACTTTGGGAACGAAGAGGTCACGTTCTTGAGAATAGGAGCTATCAAAAGGGTCCTTCGTAAAGATGGTAAGAACATGGCTGGGAGTGCACTTTAACTACATTGGTATTATCTACTAAATCGGGTTTTTTGCATATAGAGTACAACATCCCAAAGTTTTCACTGTCAACGTAATGCCCGCGAAACGTTCGGCTTGTTTTCATTGATTTCCTTTCCCACTGTATGCCAAAATCAGAAGGATAACGGTTGATTTATATGATGTGTAATCTTCGGAAATCTTGGGAAGCATTCGGGTGATCTACCATAAATCTTTACAGGACTTCGAGGGATTGCGAACTGTCAATAGTTTCATTTTCTGTGCTTTCAATGGCTAATCTCTGTACTCTCACATTTTGGCACAAAACCAGGATGAAATGACATGCTATCAGTTAATGTTACAACGCCGAAATTAGATTTCTCTGGAGCGACTTTTTTGAGCTCAAGTTTACCATCGGTTTCATGCTTTTCACCCGGCGTTTTACTGATAACTTGAATTTCCGCGCTTCTTACCTGTTAACAACATATCGTTTGCTGTGATAACTACTGACTACTCTAACGAAAGGACCAGTGAACGTATACAGCTTTCTTTTTTATTTACTTAAAACAGTGTTACCCCTTTCTGCTGAATGGGATCTTCAGTCTCGTGACGAAAGTGGAAAAGAGGAGGTTCTTCATTTGGTCAGTCTTGCACAGGACACCCAGGAATATAAAACGGTTCTAAAGATGTCCCATCAGTCAATGCAAGGGAAGGCTTCCATCACAAACATTGAGAGAATTCAAAACCCATCGATGTTTAATTCATACATGCTGAGGAAACAGACCATGGATGAAAAGAACGGGACTCTTGAAAACGAACTGCAACTGTTCTATGGAACGAAACCCGACAGCGTGAAATCCATCAATGTGCAGGGATTTAACAGGAGTTAATGAACGGTGCGTACCCTCAACAATGTCCAGTGAAAATATTACACTTATTATTATACATTGAACTCACTATCTCTTTTCTGATTGGCCGAAAGCGTACAATGAATTTTCGAAATCAGCGTCTGTGACGTCATCTAGCTGCAGATTATACAATAATCATGTCAAGGACACTCAAGGTCAGGGGTAATCATGTCATGCGGTGCGTGATTACTAAGCGCTTTGTGTTGCTTGCCGTCAGTGAAGAAGCAAAAACATGACTTCCTTTTTTTTTCGTTCAATGTGTAATGAAACAATTATTGAATTCGGTTTTTGTGATATCCAGCATAATCAAGGTCTTCGGTAAGGGTTGTCAGCCGAAGTCGAAGGCCGAGGCTGATAACCCGTACCTCGACCTTGATTCACAAAAACCGAATATCACAAAAACCGAATCCAGTAATTGTTTATAAGCAGAAACCCGACATGAGTTGATCACAAGCACGCGCCCAGTGATTCTATCTCCTTGCTGGCAATCTTAAAGCTGTCGTCACCTGATCTACTCCGATGCTACTGCACTTACATATGCCTGTTTCCTCAAAGCCTATATCACGCGTGAAAACTTCCAAGACTCGTGCTTTTGCATACCGCACAAGTGCAAAACAAGTTTTAATCAGTTGGTAATGCACGCTTTTCGGCTTTCTCCCGCGCGAACAGAAGGTGATCCCATTTCATAAGCGTTACCACTGCATGTGTTACCACCGCATGTGTTACCACTGGGCTATGTAACTAGAATGGAAAACCGCAAGCCGGTTCCGCACACTGCCACTGTGGGGTGTAATCCTGGGATTAAGGACAATTTTTGTTACATTAGAACGAGTTAAAATGGCCGTTTGGCATTACCCTAACGTTTACGCGCTTAACGATTGTCTACACCGAGCTCACCTCATTCCTTTTTCACTTTTCAGGCAAGCATACTAAGTAAGTAAGTTAGGTATATACTTTCTAGCTAGTTGTTAAAGCTTCTACTAACCTCAATCATCCTAAAACATCTGAACCTTTGATAGGTGCGGCCTATGGTGATGGTGTGTACTTTGCAAAAGATGCTTCTTATTGCATGACGTTCTCACGGCCAAGTCCTAACGGTGACTGCTTCATGTATTAAGCGACAGTGCTTGTCGGGAAGTACACCGCTGGCAAGCAAGGAATGAAGACGCCTCCTGCCATTGACCCAAGGAAACCAGAAATCCTCTACGATTCCATTGTCAACAGAGAAGAAAATCCAACTATTTTCGTAGTCTTCAACGATTTTCATGTCTACCCGAAATACTTGATTACTTTTAAAAGGATCAGTTTGTAAGTCTATATATCAAAGCTTCGGCCTTGCGACAGATTGAAATTTTTCTTAAAAAACAACAATAATATTGTGAGCCGAATACCTATAAGAGGTGGTTAATAAGAGCAGTCAGGACTTACCAACAAATCTGTTTAGCTGGGATGTGATCAAAGAATAGAATAAAATTTACTGAACTCGGCTCTTTTTACTAGACATGCACAAAAAAAACGCCTTATTTAACTTAGAAGGAACCAAAGAGTCAATAAATGCATTATTTTTATACATGTTACATAAGAACTGGGATAACTGGTTTTGGGCTAGCTTTCCAATTCTGGAACTTTCGAATCTAACGCGAGGTCTCTTCTTTTGTCAATAGCAAGCTTAAGGTGGCAGTATCAAGTTACTTCAAATCTAATTCAGCTACATTAATTTTGTACATTTGTCTACATGGTTAAGGTGATGGTAGTGTTAATTATAGGTTAGATTTAAGCTTTTGTCATAATGTACAAATTTTAACTATAGATATGTTTTTAGAATGTTCATAGTTTTTTTTGAAAAGGATACGTGTATATTTTCAAAAGCGCTTCCTGCACTGTTTCAATTGGAATCCAGTCTTCTACATATTGCATTGTAGGCGGAAATTCGGATAAAGCATAGGCAGTTACTATTTGTACATTTACTAAATAACAGATGAACACCGTCGTGTGGACGAAAAACGTTTTCAAAATACGTGCTTATAGCGTCTACTTAGTGGCCAAGATTAACAATCACATTGCTTAACATTAAATGTGTCCGGATAAAGTCATGAATCTTTGCAACGGTGAAATGCAATGTGGTTAATAAAACATATATATCAATGAATTGTTTACTTCATCATTCAAGTAGGGGTTGGTACTGTTCTCCTAGATATCAGGAGCAATAAAAAGGAAAGAAAACTGTTGGGGGAGGTGGTATCGGAATGATAGCACGGGTGGGAGGGAACGAGTTATCAATTTCAACGTCACGCTCACCACACTTTATTCTGGAAAAGATAAAAGCAGAAAATGTGCACCTGCAAAGCAGTACCTTAGGCATGACTTGTCGTCGTTCAATATTCAATTTATCAATTTACGCCCCTTGTAATATCAATGATGTCCGATTGTTACATTAAGTTCTCCGTAAAATATGTTTTTTCTTTCGTAAACGAGCCACAAAGACGAGCAAGTCCCAAGCTTCCAACATTAAGGGGCTGTTTACATGATACCGGAATGACTTTCATTTTGCAACGAGTTCATTCCATCCCCATATATTTCTCTACATCTGTTAACATGATACCGAGTCAAAATTTCATTTCGTCACAAGTCACTCTGGAATGAGTTCATTCCGGTTTTCAATCCAAATGAAATTCTCGTTCAGGTATGAAATTTCATTCTGGTATCATATAAAGTGAAAACGAAGTCGTTCTAAAATGAAAATCGCAAACCGTGTAGTCTTGGGCGGGTGGCACATGCGTATCGTTGTCAAGATGGTGGAGAGAGGTCCATCGATTGTGCCATTCGCTGCAATACGAACCTCGTTCTGGAACGAAACTCATTCCGGAATGAAAGTCATTCCAGAATCATGTGAATAGCCCCTAAGTTCAATTTCATTGGCTTTAAAGCCGTCAAAACTCTTAACGTATGAGCGACTTTTTGAAAAATGATCTACAGGAAAGGAAATGCACGTCGAAACGGTAAAAGTGTTATTTTACTGACAAAACTGGCACGAAAACGCTTTATGAAAAGTTTACAGCCTTGATTTAAACTATGACATTGAGCTTAAGGTACAAGGACGAACTCATTCGGGAAAACTGAGCTTAAACGTGGAAAGACAAATGAAGATGAAATGGGAAGACTAGTAAAAAAAAAAGTTAGTCAACGTAGTTTGTAAGTGTTTCCAAAGTTTTCCAAACCATGGACTTTCGTTGCTTCGCTTGGTCGGCGGCTGATAAATTCTTCAAACATGCCAACTGGACACCTCTTTCCGCTAGTAGCCACCATTCTTGGAATTACCATCCTTCGTTGAAGATTTATAGGAGATTTGCTCGTCTTCATGGGGTTTCAGGCTGCAAACGCGACATACGTGTGGCCATTTTCATCCTTTGCAAACTTGAACAGTTCAACACGCATGTCGTAGCTTTCTCGCTTCCTGTAAATGTTGGGTCAGCAAATACCAAGCTTTTTCCATTCGACAAGTCGGCCCTCTTTCCACAGCATTTCTTTTTCTTCCCAGATAAGTGCATCTGTTGCGTTTGGACGTTTTTCCTTGCTTTCGTCCCGAAGGTAATTTTGTTAGACTTTCCGAATTCCCTTCCGCGAATAATTAACACCTTGTAACCTTTGCTCTTTAAGTAGCGGACTAGGGACGTTTGCATAACTCCCAGGGACCCTGACACGTAGTTACTGCTATCATTTTTCTCCAGCTCGGTGTAGAAATCTCCGAGAATCGAATGAGAACGGCTTTGAATTTTGCCCAGCAACAGACAGGTTCTTACACAGGATTAAGACGATTATTTCTCCACACTTACTTAACAATTATTCCATGAGCCCACGTTGGATACCAGGTGATAAGCAATAAACAAAGCGCCCAGTTTATCATAGTCAACCTGTATCCAACAAGGAGAAATGACCAACTAGCTGGATAACGAATAGTATATGAAGAGGCGAGAAAATTTGTGGCGCGTTGCTTTACGAAAGCGCTCTTCAAACCGGAGGAAATTGAAAACGCCGGCTTTTCTTTTTCGTGTGGACGGAAAACATTTTGAAAACGATTACCCGAGCTTTAGAATTTGATAATATATTATACTTATTTCCGTATACTTGCATCAAATTTGTTTTAATTAGTAAATTATCGGACCCTAACAGGTCCAACACTGCGCCCGATAAAGAGTCACGTGACTACATAGTGATAACTCTGCTCTGGAGCACGAAGGATAATGGTTCCTTTGGCAGTTTCACATTCCTTTCCACGTCCACTCAGGTTCTTGGTTCAGAAGAGAAAGGTAAAAGAAACGATCTGTCGGTGCTGATTTGAGCAAACATACCAGAAAAGGTACAAGCTCTAATATAATCATTTGTTTACAATACGGGAAAGACTGTTCCTTTTGTCTACGATTTTAATTTCGGACAATATATAAATGCGTCCAAAGCGTCCGAAATTTAAGCGTCCGAAATATTTACAGTACAATATAAAACTTTGGCTCTTAGTTTACTTTATGGAGAGAACTCTACTTGAGACACTGCTTGAGATAATTAACGGCTTGATAAAATTTGGGATATTTTCTTGTCGGTGTATTCTACAACCTTGA